CATTTGTATCAGGTCAACAAAACATGGGCATAGTAAAAATATTTTTTATATTACATTTATCCATTTTAAATATACTAACCTCACTCATTTGTAACAACTAAGGCAAAGATGTAATTAATTCGGAAAATATTTTCAGGACCCCACTTTGGGTCCCGACCCCAACTTCGGGAAACACTGCTTTAAAGAAATAAACATTTTCACCTACGGACACCCGTTTGTTACCATACGACTAACAGAAATACACTTTTCTCAAAAATCTTGTTGCCTTATAAAACAATACATGAAATACAACAGCAAAAAGCACAGTTTAAGAACTGCTCACWTATTTTTCTTTTGGTCATTTGGCTCAGACGCTGAGGAATAAACAACATGCAGTAGTTACCAGAACAGGTAATTACTGGACCATAAAAAGGAGCGTTTGAACAGCTCCATTATTTGTTTATTGACACAATCTATTGTATTATCTGACCGTCGATGTGTGCGACGTGTTCTTTCTGGTATTTMAGACGTAACAATGACAAGTTTCACATTTGAAAGGACTGCATGTTTAGTCACTTTCAGCTGAATAGAGGACACTTCCTGGAAAATACTTTGAAAAGTGGGTTAGTATCGATTCACACAGTAATTACACTTCCATTATTATTATTATGACAGCCAATAGCTCCAAGCATAGAAAAGTATTAAATCATTAATACGTAAAGCCAGAAACTGAACACTTGATGAATTCCATTAATAATTTAATTCACTAAAGCAAAAAATTATTACAAACTAACAGACTAATATTTTGATTTTAAATCTGTCAACTACTCCTTGTGATTGAGAAAAACCTGCAGCTCTCACAGCTGAAGGTTTTTCCAGTAATAAAACTGCTTCCAGGTTCATCATCAACCAGAAATACTGGTCCTATTCTAAATCATTCTACAAGCAATAAAKTTATTAGGAAGCTTCCCACTGCCAAAGTATTTAAATAGGACATTAGTGACAGTCGACAAACACAAGTG